CATATATACAAAGACTGATGGTCAAGGATGCACAGGCCCATGTTATTCACAATAGCAAAACTCTGGAAAGGACAGTGAAGTCCAATGATAACAAAGGATCAATAAATTAAGGTATAATTCTATGGCAGAACATTAAACAACCACTACAAATGACAGTAATAAATAATTTTCATGATATGGGAAATAGCTTGTAACTTTTTTGAAGCAGAATGGAAACAAGTATATTACACTCATTTAGTATAATGCCAATTAAATAGAAATACATATTGACATTGGCAAAAATACATGTAAGACATCAGGGGGGAAAAGGCAACAAGGAAATATCTTTGGAATTGCTAGTATGGATTTTTTCTATTGAGTTTTTAAAAGTATTTAGTTGTATTCTTTTAATATTTTAGAACAAGTTCATACCATTTTTATAGCAAGAAACAATATATACTTTTAAGCCTGCTTAAGAGTACAGTTCTTTTAACATAAAAGAGCTGGCACCATCAATCAAGAGGGGAAAGAATGGAGAGTTTAGCAGATGTTAGTGGGAAAACTGACTCTTCATATGGATAAAAAGTAAGGCTGGATCTTCATGAAACATCACATGCAGTAAAATTAGAAACCTAAATGTAAAAGATGCTAAAAGAAAATGTAGTCACCTATCTTTGTGATATGAGGCAAAAAGGCTTTCTTCAAAATACAACTTGAAAATTATAAACTGGAAAGCAAGCAAGAAAGAAGATGTGAATATATAAAAATGTAGCCTTATAGATAACCAAGGACACTACATATAATTTTAATAGGTGAAAGATGCGAATACACACATGAGATATCTAAAACAAACAATTAATTAATTAGTATTGTGATTGAAAGAACTTTACATATCAATAAAAAAAGATGTCAACTGGTATGGAAAATGAGTAAGGGACACAAATAGGCAATAAACAAAAAACCAACCCAGGGAACTAGCTCAAATTCATTATTTACGAGAGAAATACAAACTGAAACAATGAACTATCATTTTGTATTTATCAGATTTATCATTTTATATTTATCTAAAAATTAGAAGGCTGACAAAAACAGGGTTAGTAAGAATGGAGATACTCATATGTAGGGCTGACAGGACTGTGGACTGTCTATGCTGGAGAGCAATATGACAGCATTTAAATGAATTCTACGCACAGTGACTTAACCAGCAGTTCCCCTGGTGAGTTTAACCTAACAAACTTCTCGTGCAGATGGACATACGCAGAGATGCTCACTGTGTTGACAGTGGTATTGAGGAGCTGGAAGTATGAGGAGATGGAGTTCATCTCTGCAAAAACAGATACACCATGGACCAAGTTTCAGGCAGAAGTGACAATCTCAGGGTACATAGAATTACATGGACAACTCCTAACACAATGCTGAACGGATAAAGAAAGATCAGAACAAGATATGCAACCATTTGTGTAACCTAAAAACATAGGTAGGTAAAAGACACAAATTTTTCAAGGATGAACTTTAAAAATTTTTCTAAAGATAGAAGAAGAATACAAGTAGGGAAAATAATTAAAAGGAACAAATGAATAAATAAAATGATATGACATAGAATGAAAAAATGAATGAATAAGGGCCCCTGGATGATGTACCATCAACAAGGAAGCATGATTAATTTTACCCTCTATACCTGAGACCAAGCACAGAACAGAGAAGAATAAAGCAAAGGGAAAGGCTCTGCAGACAAATGTGCATGTATTTATCTGTGGGCATCCTCTTGCTGACAACTGGGCATTTAAAAAATACCAGCAGCTGACAAACACTATTTATGCCCCTGTCTTATACCCCACAGGCATTGTGTACCCTGAGAGAAACTCCAAGGTAAAAGCAACAAATTCAGGAGTGCCCCCAAGGGAATTTCCTTTTGTTATCTGTCCCTTCAAAACATTCTAGCCATGTGATAGAATGTTTGCATTCAAATTTCCACCAAAAATTTTTCTAGAAAGCCAAAAGCTATATATCTGGGATATGGATGCTTGATGTGTGTAATTCTGTGAAAACAGCAAATTCCCTACTCTTAAACTCATTATCAGATTGAAAGAGTTTAGACTATGGCACGAACAGAAAGAGGGCTGCAAGACAATGAAGACCCTGGACAATGACCTACCTGGGGCAGGTGAGCTCTGTGGGTGGGTATACAGTGAAACTGCAAATTACCACAGTGAAGAGACACAAGTACAGCTTGGGAGAGGGGAAAGTTAGGAATTGCATGATGTGGAAGAGAGATCCTAATGGCAAAAGGGTGAGGCACACTAACCTACACCCCCTACTATGGTTTTACCAGTCTGGAAATCTGTAAATACTAATATCCTACAAAAATAAATCCTCCTTAAACTACTCCAGAAGAAATGACCAACTTTTAATACTTCATCTTTTTCTTTCTTGCTTGCTAGATGACTCGAATGATCACCAGACACCCAAGTCAAGCAAATCTCACTCTGTGAATAACATGATACCAGATGGAAAATTCTGTATTTTCCAAAATGGAACCTCTTATACTGTTCTTTTACTAGGAGAGGTAGAATACCTTTGTGTTTAACCATAGAACCTTTGGGACCATACAAAATTTAGACTAAATTGTGTCCCTTAAGTTTACTTGCCTCTATTTCCTCATCTACAAAGCAGTTCAAAAATACTTATCTCACAGAATGCTGCAAGGAGTAAATATGCTAAGGTATGTAATGCATCCCTAGTGCCTGACACACAGGAGATGGTCATTTAATGCTACCTATTAGTAGCTATTACTAAAATGTCAATTGTAGATAATGCATACTGCAGACCAATATTTAATGTGGAAGGCCGATGGCTTCCAATAATCCATCCTTCACTGATGATAAATATACCCTGACTTTTTTCTATCAAATACCTCAATGAGTCAGAAAACTTATTTTACTGTAACACTGTTCTATTACCTAATTTTTGAAAAATCCAATTCACATACTATGGGCAGTGGGCACCCCTTCTTAAATATATCACTATCTCCCTTGTTCTTTTTAAAGGTTGCATACTGTCCCATAATTTATTTAACCTGCTCCCTACCAGATGTTTATATTCTCTCCAGTTCTTTGCTATCATTACCAATGCTCCAATTGACTTCCCTGCTGCAAAACATTTTGAACTTTGGGGCAAATTGCTGGGTCAAGAGATAATCCCTTTTTAAAGGTTTCTAAAACATATTCCAAAAAATGCCTTACAGAAATGATAGAACCAAACAACACACCCATCAAAAGAATCATTTCAAATAGAATCTTTCTAACCCACTGGCACTTAAGCAGGGAGAAGCAGCTTCAAAAGTTACAACAAAGTCAAAAGTTACAGGTGAACTTCTGGCTAAGGGTCTCCATTCACATGCACCTCACCCCTGATAGCTCTTGTGTCCTACATTATAGATGAAGGCTGGTACAGGCATCTGTTTACCCTGCTTGGCATCCGTCTCTCCTGTCCTTCTAACTCCCCAGATTTCCCTCTGGGAAACTACCCTGCTTCACCCTCTTCAACTGTCAGTCAAGATTAGTTGTTTTCTGTGGGTGGGCCCAAGCTTGATCAACCTGATGGTGACTTTCCTGGGAATTTAAATCCCCTGACAAATGAGGCAAAGACCATAATATTACCCAGAAGATCCTTTTCCTTGGGTCCTGGCTCCTGGGCCCTAGAGCTAATCTATTTGCAAGACTGTGTCTTCAGCTCTTTACCTTCCTATGAGTTATGCTGCTGCCTTCTGCATTTCTTTACTGTTGTACAGTTGTTTCTGGTTAAGTTAGCCAGAGTTGACCGCAGATGCTCTAAAACAATCTTTCCTGATTTGGGGTACAGGGTTACTTCTTTGTTTCCTTGAATATATGCTCAAAATTATTTTCCTTGTTCAATTCTTGAGGAGACAATTTTTTTTCCAGTCACAAAGGCCTTCTATCCTATCAATAGCAATGACCCCAAACTACATAACATTTTATACTCCATAAACTCCTGGTAAAATGTGTATTTTAGAGAAAATGAAAGGAAAAAAAATTCTGTCCCATAATGGCTTTAAGGAAGGAAGGAAGGGAGGGAGAAAGGGAGAAGAGAGAAGAAAAGAAAGAGAAAGAGAAAGAAAAAAGGAGAAAGAGAAAGTAAGAAAGCTAGCTCAACCTTTTGTCCTTCTAGAGAGGCCCTGTTTTACTGACTTTCCTGATATTACTGAAATTCATCATAGGGGGCACCTCTGGCTTTTTTTACCAAGTGGATTTTACAAAGCAGATCTGAAGCCAGGCGACAGGATTTCCTTTGTACTTTAGTAGCAGCCTGGAAGGAATTTATTTCTTTCTCATATGCACCAAGGAGATAATCAGTCTAAACACTTTACCAGTAGGAGTTTGATTGCAGTCTCATTGCCTTTAGGAGATTACAGTGGTCTTGGAAATGAGGATTCACTGGAGTGCTCTGAGCCTGCCGCAGGGGAAATGTGCTATCTATTCTAACAAGGTTGCTCGGGTACTTCCACCATAGAGCAGCAGTACTGTATTCACCATCTGACTCTTTCCACTCCAAAGAAAACAGTTAGCAAGCAGTCACCTAAGACAGATGTTGCCTCTCCAGTTCTTTGGGCAGACTGTGCAGGAGGCCGGGGCAACTTTGGCTTTCCCACAGAAGAAGGCCCTGAGGGTATTGGGTATTGGTGGATTAAGTGACTTTTAAGTATTGACTTGAGCTACAGTTTTAAAACATGGGATTAAGTGAGATAATATACACAAAGATGCTATGTAAAGTATTATTTAAGTGCAAGGTGTCATTAGCCTGGTGATCTTGGCAGTCATGCTTAGTGAGTAGCCCTCCGATGTCCACACAGAGAGCCATGGTAGAAGCACTTCATGATATACTTAGTGCATGGGCTGACTCAACATGCCCACAGCACCTCCTGGTGGTTGATCCCCAGTAGCGCCTTCTAAAAGCCCACTCCTCACCCCGGCTGTAGAGAAGTACTGAAACATCATACTTACTCCCTTCACTCTGACTGTCTTTGTTCGAGTTATAGACCTGCAAAACAGAAAATAAAATATTACTTGGGCACATTTTATAGCACCCTACAGGTTCACTGTAGAAAACCATTTCCTTCCCCCTTTCCCTACTCTGTACCATGAGATAGAAGGTGATTTCTGGCCTGTGAATATGAACCCACTTACCGGTATATGCTTCAGCTGTTTTTAAATGTGCATGCATCACCTACGAAACTTTATTGCAAAATACCACATTCCATCTTTTCTAAACAGCAAGTAAACTTACGTGTATATACAAATAAAAAGGAGAGAATTTTAAAATTAGTTATAAACCATTAAGCATTAACTGTGCACCATGCAAAGTGCTAAGCAATTCACACAAATTATCTCACATAATCTACACAACAATTCTGCTTGGTAGGAGCTGTTATTATCACTGTTTCACAGCTGGAGAATCTGAGGCTTAGAGAGGTTAACTAAGGTCTTACAGCTACAAAGTCAGGGCAAAGGCACATTGTAAACTGTGAGACCTAACGGTGGAGAATGAGACCAGCCACTTTTTTACTCTATATACCTTTGTAAATTTGTTATGAGTAGAATATATTATATTTATAATAAAAACTTTTAAGTGATTTGTGAAAATCATAAAAAAGAAAACAACCTCATACAATAAAAAGGAAAGTACATCAATATAAAAGCTTGCTGCAAGGGTCAGAGAGCTTTTCTATAAAGGGCCAGAGAGTAAATATTTTAGGCTTTAAGGCCAGGAGACAAATCAATATTGCACAGGTTCTTAGATAGCAAGAGAAAATTAATTTTCACAGAATTGACAAAATTCTAAATATAATAATGGAGTATAACTTTTTGAAATACCAGTCTACTAATTAGACGGATACTTGTTTGTTTGTTTAGAGGGAGGATGCTATTTAGTTCAGATGGAGTTCAAAGTTGGCGTTCCCTATAATAAGTCAATCGCAAATGTGCATCCATAAGTACTACACGTGGCTCATGAACTATACAGAAGCACATGGGTGCTGGATTTGTTCTGTGGGCCACAGTTTGCCTCTCCTTGTTATTCTGTCACTACTAAGTAAAATGAAACGTTTGCTTAAAACAAAGAAAAAAAAAAAACTGTGCCAAATCCTTCTTTGGTAGTTACGACTCTATAGGAATGGAAAGCCATAGAGCAGTGATGGAAAAGCTTCCAGAGCTTTCAATGACACAAACAGCCTGCTAAGGCATGCATGCCACAGGTTCACCACCTAACAGCGACAGTCACAACTTATCTACCCATTTATCCACCCCAAGTGATTCTGATGACCACTCGAAGCTGAAAGCCATTTAACCACTAAAGGAACCAAGCAAAGTACCTCTGAAAGGTGAGCCACTAAGCCCAAAGAAACCTTTTTCCCTACTAAGAAGTATGGATAGAAATGACTGGTCAGGAGGTAGGCAACGGGCCAACTGTGCCCCAGATGCCTCACGTCACTGAGCAAGTCTCCTACACTGCCGGGGCCTTTACTGCCTACTGTATAACATGAAGTAGTTGCTCAAGGTCTTCAAATTATAAAACTTTAAATACAGAAAATAACTGTTAATATTGCTTCACTTTCTAAAGAAGACAGAAGCTGCACTCATTGACTGAACGTCAGAAGGGTGAGTACTAAAGAAACGGGTCTCTTATCTTAAGGAAGATACTCTGAGGAATAAATAGGCAAGAGGGTGTACACCGAAAGGTTCTAGAGACTCTGATTCTGGTCTGCACTTCACCACCAGTCACTTTACTTGGCTGAACTTTAATTTTTTCATCTACAAAAGGAAGGTGATGATGGTTATTCTGCCTACCTCTCCCAGGAGCATCAACTGAGCCTGTTAAAGAGAAATGTATGGAAACTACAAACTAATGCAGTGCTTCGAGCTGTACTGCTGGGAAAAGAACTGTTTAACCATCAAGGAATTTGAAAGAAGTGCAAAAGTCACCACAAAATTTAGGTAGAGGCTGACATAGAAGTTGTGTGAATTTCTGTCTGTAACATGGGGAATACAGTGGAACCCCAAAGTACCCGCACAAAGATTGCCAAAGAGGCTGGGAGAGGCCCCCATCTTTTGGTTCTATGGGTTTTATTCATGCAGTCATTGAAAAGGGGGATACTGGCTTTGAAAAGTTTGAAAGCCTCTTGAATGGGTCATTCCTAATGTTACCTGGAATTTTTTTATTCATGCATACATTTAACAAATATTTTCTGAGTGCCTATAATAACTATGTACTGAGGATACTGGTCAATAAAACAGCTATGATCTCTGCCTCATGAAACTTTCCCATTAGTGAAGAAAAGAGAAATAAACATACAGATATGGTACCTTCAAATACTGATAAGTACAACAGAAACAAAAAAAGAGGGCACTACGTGTCTGATGTCGGGGAAAGGTTCTCTGAAGAGCTGAAGTTTGCCCTAGACCAGAGAGGAAAGAGGGGACTTCCTTGAGCCAGTGACCAGTAGGTCCCTGAGGTGGAAAAAGCATGGCTTTTTAGAGGGAGGAAGGTCAATGTGGCCGGCAATCAGTGCAAGGCAGAGAAGGGTAGGAGAGGAGGAGAGGCAAGGGGCAGTCGCCTACCCTGCAGTGCCTTGTGACTCCTGAGTGAAAGGGGAGCCAAGTAATAGCTCAGACCACCGATCCATAATGACTGGCATTGAGTAACACTGGAAAGTTGGATGAAAAAGTACAGGAAAAAGATCCTATTTGGACAAGTATTTTTTTCAGCCATCCTTAATCACTGTATTCTCCCATTAAATTCAAACATTCTGTCCAAGAGAAACTTGTTCCTATTTATAAATGGCAAAAATCTAGAAAGAAAGAATAGTAAAGCACAAGGCTCTCAGCCCTTCTTAATTAGGATGTAAGTTCACGCCAAATTACTTTCTTTCAAGGTTTCCTGGGTCTCGGGAGTCCCCTGCCTGGAACACCCAAGCATTCCCTGAATTCAAGAGGCGTAATCAATGAGCCAAAGGCGCCAGAAACATGTGCTGCCCGATCCTTGGGGGCTGGGCCATTAATCTCTGTCTGGTTCGAGTAAATGAGCCAAAGAGAATGAGTTTTGAAACGAGGCTAATAAGCCATACTTGCCAGCACTACATGACCCAACACGGAAGGCCTAAGCATCACGAACGGCACTAAGTGGGAGCGCCTTTGTTTGCTGAGCACTTACCTAGCACCACACGACAATATCAAATACCTGTAACACCATATGGCTTAAATCCAGTGTTCCCTGAGGCCCACAGTTCATCCAAGAATGCAGAACTAGTAAGTGGTATACAATCCTAGCTACTACAGGGATATTCTAGTCCCCTCTGACCTATCTTAGTAGCAAATGCACACAATTATCAAGTGTGCCGGTAGCTGGTTCCATGATTTGTAAATACCTTTTATACTGGCAGAAGCAAAAGGCATCCAATTCACCCTTTAGAAATGGTTAGTCTGCTCCAGGCAATGTTTCTTATATAGATCACATAGTGTTCCACTAGACTGAGGTTCAGAGATAAGAGCAATATCCTGGAATAAAAGGTTTCTTTGACAATGGCTTTGTCTTATGATGAGTGGTTACTTCATCTGCTCTGAGGTATACCTCTCAAGAGTTCCATCTTCACATGACAGAACCCAACTCTTGAGGATCAACTCAAAGGGACAAAAGTCAATGCCTGCATTATGACTCCTAGGAAAACTGAAGAATTCCATGTACTTTCTCAACAGCATAAGTAACTTAAGCTAAATTTAGCTGCCCTGCTTAGTGAGAATACTCTTAAGATTTGATCACTTTAAAGTGTTATAGCCCTTTGGCTTTGTGTTCTTTGACATAGGTAGGCTCCAGTTTCTGCTGGAGTAGAAATACTGAACATGAAATCTGCTAAATATCCATGCCAGTGAGTATCTATTTTCTTATATATGTTTCTAGAGATAGAATTTACATGTATTTATCTTATCGGGGTCTATCTCCGAGTCATTAAGGAATAGTTTCAACACATACAATAATTTAATAATAATGATGATGACAGAATCCCTGATCTGTGTTAGACAGCATGCCAGGCATTTTATAGCAATTCAGTGTTTCATACAATCTGACTATTCCTGTCCTAGAGATGAGAAAACTGAGGGATTAGGAAGCGTGGTCACTTGATCACAGTGAGCCAGCTGGAAACAGGAAGCGTGCAGACAGGAACTTCCATAGTCTATTTCTAGAGCCCAAGCACTTAACTTTTAACCACTTGATAAATAAGACATGGCAGCGGTGGTGGTGGTAGTGGTGGTGGTGGTGGCGGCGGCAGTGGCGGTAGTGGTGATGACAATGATGATAATGATGACGACGATGACAATAAAGGTAATGAGGTATCGTGGGCAGCCAGAGCAAGTGAGTCACTGGAAGAAACAACTTGCCCTGAGTCAGAGAAAATGCAACTGGGAATGGCCTTCAGATTCCAGCCAGACGTATCCACCACTAACCCATGTAACCAGCTGGCAGCTAACAGAGAAGTAATACTCCATTCTCTCCAAACCAGACTTCCATCCCGAAGATAAACACCAGGGCAAGAAAGTAGGTTTTTAATACAAATCACAGGGTACTGCAACTCTAACAGGCCATACCCAGAAGCTACAATAAGAGTATAATTTAATAAATTAAAAGAAGGTGCAGAAAGCCTTCATATGCTTTCTCTGTACTAAGTGTGACTTTGCAATAAATTCTGTTCACTGCTGAGCCAATTCAATTTACATGTCCCTGGAGATTTAAGAGAGAGAATACACAGAGTCATTTGGATTCCCAGAATTTTTCTAGGGGTAACATTTATTACCATTATCCAAGCCACATTGAGAAAATACAGAGAGGTACTTTTTAAACATAGAAATTAAAGGCATAAGTAAAACAATAATTAGATAGAAACAATCTAACTTTTCCTTTTGACACATAGCTGAATTAGTACTTGGCTACACCACACTTTGGATCAAGATTTACAAAAATGAAGTGTTAGGCAAACTTTTCTAAACTGC